CCAGGTGGCACGTCAATATCTGTCGTGTCCATACTGACTCGCTGGAAAGGACGCTCTACTTCCGTTGGCACGATCGTGTGTGGTCCCCGTATAGGGGCACGATCAGCGGCACAGACCAGACAGTTAGCGACAATGTATTTGACATCATCTCGTTTATTGAACCAGAACCATCGGTTCTGGTCTACAGTTGCCTCCGTGACACGTATCGCGAAATGAGTGGCCTGTTCTTCGTGAGCAGATCGGATCCAATCGTATCTCTGGAATGGATGGGGAACTGTCAACCACGAACCCGACCCATCAGTTTTACGCTTTTCCAAATGATCGTTGATCCATCGATAGTCCTGAGATCTCTCGGTTGCCCTACGTCTGTCGTGTTTGGTGAGGTGGCCCAACGATAATCCCGCTAATTTTGCTAATAAAATTTTATCCGTCGAAACCTCCGCTCGTCGGTATTTTTCGTTGTATTCAGGGCTGTCCGTACAGGCGGCCTCGAATCGAACCTCCGTGGGGAGCTTGTTCGTTCTACAAAGGGGGCACTTCCATTCCTTGCTATTCCTCCGATATCGAACGCAGGCCCCGTGCGCACGGTTGACACACGTGGCACATTCTACCCAATCGACAAATCCTGTCTCGAAGGGGTGACAATCGACCCCATAAACTCGTGCAATACACGTCCAAAAATAGCAGAATTTATCGGGAAGGGTGGCGAAGAAGGCCGAGGAAGTAAGAGGGGCAGAGTTAGTAGGAGAAGAAGGGATTGCGGAGGCGAGTGGGGTAGTCATGATGGCAGAGGAGGAGGGGATGTAAGGAGAGCAGAACAGAACAATTAGTCCTCTTGTCACTTACTGCTTCGATAAGATCTCCACTTGGCCGTACCGAGGTCCAATCTCCTGTTCGGGTTTGTTCCACGAAATTACCTCCTCACCCTTTGGAACCTTCTTAGGCCGGTGCAGTCGTGTCAGTCCGTCCGCATTCCCGTGTCTCTCATGCTTTCGATGACGAATGTCAAACTCCATGCTCCGCAGCACCGTTGCCCATCGCCCGATCATGCCCGAGTAATCCTTTGACTTCTTCAGAGCCAACAGGGGCTCATGATCAGCTACCAAGGTGAATTTTCGCCCGTACAGGTAAGCACGAAAGTGACTGATTCCCCAGAGAGCCGCATAGCATTCACCTGTTGGAGCGGCGTAATTGCGCTTGCAGGCGGGCACTGATTTGGACGCATACTCCACTACACTCTCGAGTCCGCTCGGTCCCACCTGGGCAAGGATCGCCGAGATCGCCTCTGGCTGCCAGTCGGTGATGAGGACAAAAGGCTTTTCGGGATCTGGTCTTATAAGGACCGGAGCCGAAATGAGAGCAGCCTTGAGTTTGGAAAACGCTTGATCGCACCCCGGCGTCCAGATCAACGGCTGATCCTTGCGCAGGAGATTTGTGAGGGGTCCCGCAATCGCCGCGAAGCCCTTGATAAATCTTCGGTAGTACGAGGCTAGGCCCAGAAAGGCGCGAACTTGCCTAATAGTCGTAGGCACCGGCACGTCCCTGACAGCTGCCACCTTCTGCGGTTCCGGTTGGAGTCCTTCGTCTGTCACCACGTGCCCCAGGAAGGAAATGGTGGTGAGGAAAAACTGACACTTCTCAAGCGCCACCTTGAAACCTGCATCTCGTAACGCATGCAGTGCCCATTCGATGTGCTGCACGTGTCCCTCATAGGAGCTCGAATACACCAAGATGTCATCCATGTACACAATCAAGCAGTAGTTGATGATGCTCTGCGCCAGGCGAGTCTTCCGCATGAAATTCTGAAAAGCCATGTTCATGGCCCGTTGAAAAGTCGCGGGGGCGTTGCAAATACCCATCGGGCATCGAATCCATTGCCACGTACCTTTGAAAAGCACAAACGCGGTTTGCGGATGATCTTCTTCTCGAACAAGAAGATGATGAAATCCATGGCGAACATCAAACTTGCTGAAAAATCGAGCACTCCCAATCGCATCCAACAATTCATCGATTCGGGGGAGGGGGTACACATCTTTAATCGTGATATCATTCAATTTTCGATAATCAATACAAATACGAATCCCTCCGGCCTTTTTAGGTACGATCACTACGGGAAAAGACCACGGACCTATAGCAGGTTCGATCCATCCATTAGCCTCAAACTCTTTAATCCGCTGAAAAGCGGCCGCTCGTTGAGCTGGCGAGTATCGGTAGGGAGCGCAACTAATGGGCGGATGATCTCCCGTGAGAATGGCATGTTCAATTACATTAGTTATCCCAATATCATTGTCATGCACGCTCAACACTTCTGCGTAACCATTCAATACACAGATTAACGACTTCCGAAGTTCCGCGGGAACGTGACTCGGGAGGGGGATCGTCGATTCCCCAGACATATTAAGGGGCATATCGATCTAATCAACCGGTCGTTCCCGCCGCTCATGGACACTAGAGAAAACGGAACTACTGGTGCGAACAGAAAAGACAGTTGCTATCATCTGGGACTCAGCGGGGCTGATCATCTCCGTTTCTTTAGTTTCAGCGTCAGTCTCTGAACCAACCGAAGTCGGTTCCATGGTTAGCCCTGTTAGATCCGTCATTTCTTGCATTAGATTCGGCACGTCACTTACCGGTGCTTCCGCTTCTTGTTTAATCAAGGCGATGGTGGCTCCTGTCGTTAGTAATGATCGGGGTGGAAAAACAGAAACGTCCAAATACTGTTCCGTTTGCTGATAACGTGTTCGTAAGGAAAGAGCTCCCTCGTACAAGGTGCGAGGGGGTTCCAAATCATCAGCCCAGTCGGAAATTTGTAATAGGGGTTCTCCAAGGATGACTGAAGGACTGACCTGGGTTGTTAGGGGCGTGAATGCACTGTCTTCTGAATCCACGTGGAAGCTTCGGGCGGTGTCGTGGCACACTTGAAATTCTTCGGGGGTTTTGATGTTCGAAAAGTTCAACCAGATGCTTCCATTCCTCTCTACTGGGCATCTCTTCTTCTTATTCTCGTTCCCTGATTCCATCCCCGAGGCGCGAGGGGGAGCACTCCTCGGGATCAATGTATCGAATCATCCCGATGGGAGCCGAGTTAGGGACCCGTTTTATCGTTCGGGTGGAAACTCGCAAAGGAACAGTTTGAGGTTTTCCCCCAGTTTGCGTGAGCACCAGTTGCTTCGAATCGAAATGCAGACGTGCACCTACCGCCATGGCCCAAGGTAATCCCAACAACACAGAGTAGGAACGTACATCTATTACGAGTGTGTTAACAAGGACGTGTACTCGTCCAACTTTTACGGCCACATTCTCGATAATGCCTACGATGTTCATTGCTTCCTCGTCGGCAGAGACATAGTTGTCTTTGCCAGATTGAGGAAGAATGGATCCAAGTCGTCCCGTCCTTTTGACAGTATCTAACGATATGGCCACTGCAGAAGACCCTACGTCGATAAGGGCATTAAACGGCTTGCCCCAAACTTCACAGTCACATTCTGCGCTTTTCCATAGTACTGGCCGAGCTCGTACGAAGTGATCTTTTTCCGCTAAAGAGATTGCTGCTATGCTTGCAGCTTTGGGTTCAGGTTCTTTTGTGTCCGGCTCGGGGGGCACGACTTCCTCGCTTCCTTCCTTCTTCTTCAACATCCGTTGTATGCGTTGATATGTGAAACGCTTTTGATTTTTCCGGCGATGTTGTAGAAGCTTATCGTTTGCCACTTCAGATATGGTGAGCAGATATCCCACTGGGATGGGAACGCGAATATCTAGTTGCTTGAGCGTTTTCAGTACATCAATGTCTCCTGTATGAAACTGCGGTCCTGGATTGGATTCACGATCGACCCACTCGAGATCATCTGGGACCGATCGGATCGCTCCGATCATGCCTTCAAGATGAAAATACTCGAGAGGATCGACCACGTTAGCAGCGTCAGGGGAAGAAGCTCCCGATGTCGATGTCGTTGCCATCGAAGGGGAGGGCTGCTCTGTGGCATATGCCACGAGTTCTGTTCCTTGATCCGTATCCATCAGAGCGGTCACTCGTCCTTGATTAAGGGCAACGGGGGCCGCAGCAGGGGGAGGCTGATTACATTTCGGCTGCGGACAGTCCCGGGCGAAATGCCCGGGCTGCTTGCAGTTAAAGCATTCGATCTTCCCTGCTGGATTAGCTAGATGAGGGAACTGAGGCGCGAACCCTGGAGTAGGCAGGGCAGGTAAGAGTGAAAACGATGAAGGGGCAGACCGAGCAGGAGGTGGGTTAGGCTTGATGAGCCTGCTCATTATCTGTTCCATTCGTTCCATATGAGCGGCCTGCATTTGGATCAAGTTGCTGATCCATTCGGACTGCTTGGTAGTAGCCGTATGGATCATCTGGGCAAGGTGTAGATTAGTTACGGTTGGCGAGGGGGGTTGAGATGAAGTTCCCTTTCTAACGGCTGCGATCGATTGATTCACCGCAGGAGATGGAGGAGAAGCAGTTGGGATATCGGAAACGATCCCACCGGGAAGATCATGGTCGGGGCGGGGATAAAACCGTTCGACTGCTTGTAGCCATGATGGCCTTTTGGCCGTTACATCCTGTATGGTATCTGTAATGTCCTCGTCTCCCTGGGTGATATATTTTTTTGTATCAGCCAAGTCTAGTTCCATCGCTTTAGTAATGATAGCTGATAGCTGGGTTGTTTTCGGCGGAACCTTTTTCTGCAGTTTCCCTTTCAAGGTCGGACTTCGAAGGTGATCAATAAACAAATCTCGAGCAGATTTCTCGTCTCGCCCGGATTTATCCAATGTGGTTTGAAATCGATCAATGAAATCGGATAACAGTTCCCCTGGTCCTTGGGGTCGATTTTTGAGTACGTACCAGACACCATCTTCATTGATTGTATCGAATCGAGCCAAAAGGCTGTCTTAAAAGTAGCCCAATCTACCCATGTATGTTTTCTAAACCAGTCACACGACGTGTTGCGGAGTGGCAATGTCAGAACGCGGGGGAGATCGGCTGCGCTATAGTTCTGAGCTTCGACAGCTTCCAGCCAAGCCTCGGGATGAGTATGGTTAGGGAAGAAGGGGAAGGGGGCAGGGATACTAACGATCACCCTAGTACCGTCCACCATTGGTATTGCGGGTGCAGTCGCACTAGACTGAGACCTGGTTACGGGGCGATCTCGACGAGCTAGTTGAGGGTCTCATTTACCTCTCGCCAGTTCGACTTACTATCATCAGAACCGACACGTGTCAGCTCCGATACCAACCTCACGCCCTGTGCTGTCTTCTGTTCGGAGTGTTAGCTGTGCGGAAAAGAGGCCTTGAAAAACAACAAGATGAGGTGTGCCAAGGATTTTTGGAAATTGAGCGTGGGGACACAAACGAAACTGAAATCCCCCGTGTTGGTCCGACGGAGCAAGTCGATCGTTTTCGCGCGTCGCAAAATGCGCGCGCGGGCGAGGCGGGAAGAGAGGGACAAATTCAATCCAAAAAGTATTGTCGTGCCTCCCACCGGGCTACAGCCCGTCGTTTAGAACAGAAAGGCTTGGGCACACTTCGTGTGTCCCGTTTTCGTATCAGATCTCGTCGTCGTTCGCTGGTTAGTTCCGAGTCCGACGTGGATGGTCTCAGTCGCGTGGCTCTTTCTTTATGCTCGTCTTCACTCCGCACACG